TTTTCAATAAGAAATTCACCATGACCACCATATGAAAATACACCATAATATAAAATAACTTAATTAAAAAATAATAAAAACTATGGAATTGTATTGTAAAGTAAAATTATCTTGTGCAAAAACAAAAATGTTCTTTAACAAAAATTCAGCATAACCCTAATTTCATAATTTAATAAGAAATTATAATACCAAAGTTGTGCAAATTAAATTAATGAAATAAATTCAAAAAAAACGCGCAAATCTTTTCATGAATTTCTTCCAAATGTAAATAATTATAAAAAACTAAACTTACTTAGTTATATTTATTATATTGATGTATTTATTAATTAATTTATACTTATAATTTAATGTTCACGTTTTTATTTATTAGCAATTTAAAAAAATAATCTGAAATTGCACTTTTACAACAAAAAAATAATAAATAAAAATTTATAATTTAATATGAACACTCTAATCTTTTGGTGGCTGTTGGAAAAATACAGAAATTATTAAACTACACTTTTTAAAACAAAATAATAAATTTAGTGTAAAATTTTATGAATTTTATCTCAATTATTAAAAATGCATATGTGCAAGTTTTGTAAAATTTAAACATAAACTTGATATAAAATTAGAAATATATAAAACATAAATAATTTATAATTTAGTACTATTTAATTTTTTTTTAAAGCAAAAAATCATTAAATTTATAATATAAATTTAATAGATTTAAAACATTTATTAATTTATTTAATACTATTTAAAATGCTATTGGTTTTCGACATTAAAACAAACAAAAACACTAAATAAACTTGAAAAAAAAAATTAAATTATTGAAATACTAATTGAAAAAAATTAGATAATTGAAATAAATTTAAATACTTATGATTATCACAAAATTTAATGTATTTTAATTTAATATATTTATGCCTAATTTAATAATAAAATTATTAATTAAAGAATAAAAAATTAAAAGATTAAAAGATTAAAATAAAATTAAAATTAAAGAATGCACGAGTTGTATAATTATGCAAGATATTTTGAATAAAGAAAAATTAACAATTTGTTGTATGCTAAAGCAATTTATAAAAAAATCCAACTCAATTTAAAATACAGTATTAAAAAAATTAAAAATTGTGCAATTGTGAAAATTTAATATAAAAATTGAAATAAAGTCAAAAACATGAGAAAAATGTTCAGTATTGAATTTCTGGAGTAGTGAAAACAGGAATGCAAAATTGTGAATTTTAATTTAACTCAATATATATTAATAAATATTAGGTTGTCAAATATCTCCCTTCCGCTTTTTTGCTCTTGGTTTATAATACAAAAAGGCGGAAGGGAGATATTTGACAACCTTATTAATAAATTCAATTTAATGTTTAAATTTTACAAAAATTTAACAATTTAATTTCATAATTATATATTTTGATGCAAGTTTATTACCAAAAACTGTCATAATTTATTTATCTTAATGATTTAGCGTGTAATTATTTAAAAATATGTAGAAATAAATATGAAATGAAGTATAATGCAAAACTTCAAGCATTCACTAAAATTTTCACTTTAACCCTAACAAAATAATGTAACAAAAAATTATTTATAATACTAAAGTTGTGCAAATTAAATTAAAAAAAAAGGTGAAAATATAATAATTTTGTGAATTCAAAAAAACCGCGCAAAACTTTTCACACAAACTTCTCGACAAATCGATTGCATTTGAGGTTGTGCAACAGGGGTGCAAATTCGTATGAGTCATTTGCATACATGTGCACTTATATAATTAATAAATCAATTCCTACAAAGACTACATCACTTTTAACACTAACAAAATAAATAATAGTAATAAATAAAATACTATATATAAATAAAATCACTTTGCACCCCGCCGGTAAATCACACAAACGCCATGACAAATAGAAAACAGATACATGTCTTAGTTATATAAAATTTAGATTTTATGCAGTATGATTTTTGTTATAATTGCTGTGATCTTTTATACCAGAACATTTGCTGATTGAGATACAGTATGTACGAATTAAATCAAATCAAATAAATAAATACAAAAATATATATATATATACATGTATCCATTATCACTCACCATTAAAAGTACGGCCGCCCTTTAATCTAATTCAGGTACTGTATTAAGTGGCGCGAATCACAGACATTAACATCATACTATCATAATTTAAATTATTATTATTATAAACCATTATTACTACAATAACTCTGACATTTTGTCGTCGAAAATTGATTTTCACAATTCGCGAACGAACCGAACGATTTAGTTTAAGGATCAGCTGCTGCTGCGGCTAAGAGTGCCGATAATGCCGAGACGAGGCGAAGAGAGACGATGAGAGGCGATGGCGCACGAGGGAATAGAGAGTGAAGTTGGGTGTTAGGAGGAGGGCGCACTGGTGGAAGAGTTATTGATTTGATGGGGAATGGTTCTCAAAGGGTAAGAGGATAGAGGATTTGAAAATAAACTTTACGAAGTTAAGATTTTAAGTTATTTTTTTAAGAAATTTACGAGGTTATTTATTTAAGTTATTTATTTTTTTTTAATTACAATACTTGAAATAAATACAACTGTTAAATAGTTAACATATAATTATAATAATTACAACTGTTAAATAGTTAACATCTAGCAATATTGATAAATAATAACATAAATTTAAATAAATAAGAGTGCAAAGGATAGAATTTACATGAAAATAATATCATAATAATATCATAATAACATGATAATAATATATAATATTTATTTAAGAATGTGACCTATAGACGACCTGTAGAAAATAAGCGTGTTATGCGAATCCGTGTTGTAAGGTTGTCAAATATCTCCCTTCCGCCTTTTTGTACTATAAACCAAAAGCAAAAAAGCGGAAGGGAGATATCTGACAACCTAATATAAGGGACAAAAAACTAGTACAAAACGATAGGTTACGTTTCAAGAATTTAAAAAAAACACGCTATAATGATTTTGTAATAAATATTGTTACATTTATTAATTTTTTTTAAGAAATAATATACATTACTTGAATTTTATGATTATTAACTTCCCGTAGGGTAGTTATAGTAATGGGCCGAAAATCGAAACAGAAAATTTTTGCATTTCTCGACGTTTTCAAGGTTTCTGAATATTTTTAAAGGGCTTACCTCAAAAACTGAATGGATGTGTGTGTATGTGTGTTTTGTATGTCCACATTTTTTCGTCCACGTTTTCGGGCGCACAGATCAACTGATTTGAATGATTCATTTACCATTCGATTACTATTGATAGAAAGATTGCTGATTAGTTTTTGATAAAGCCAGGTCCAGTCGTTTCGGAGATATAGAGCAAAGAGTGCAGAAAATACAAATCGAGTTTTCGAGAGAACGGATCAATCGATTTGTATGATCCAAAAAACATTCAGTTCGTAATGACGGGGAAGAGTGGCTATTAGTTTTTGGCAAAGGCAGACCCAGCAGTTTCGGAGATGCAGAGCTAAATGTGCAAAAAATGGCAGTTTTTTATAAAAAATAAATTATATCTTTACTGTTTAAAGTGCATATTTTTAGTTTTTGGTTAATATCTTTAATATTTTGTTGAAAAACTATTAAATTTTGTAACTTGTAATTAAAGTATATACGTTCAGGAATGTTATACTAAAATTATAATTCTCAACTATATATAGTACAGCTGATATAAATTTTAAAACTAATAATAATAATGTAAAAAATGAAATTTGTATTCATATTTCTGTATCTTTTGTATTTATTTTTGTAAGCGTATATTTTCAGTTTTTTGTTAATATCTTCAGTATTTTGTTGAAAAAGTCTAAATTTTTTTGAATCGTATTCAAAGTATATACTTTAAGGAATACTATACTAAAATTTCAGCTCTTAACTATATATAGTACAGCCGGTATAATTTTTGTAAACTAAGATATCCGTATTCTGAGTTAACATGTTGTGAGTGACAAATTTTTGTAAATTGTTTAAAAACTTGGATAATTTATTCAAAAACGTAAAATTTCAGACATGCACTTTTATAGTATATGCTCTTGGAAATATTATACTAAATTCACAGCTCTTAACTATAAATAATACAGCTGGTTTGAATTTTTGAAACTAGGATAACCATATTGAGAGTTAAAACGTTGTGAGTGACAAATTTTTGTAAATTGTTTAAAAACTTGGATAATTTATTCAAAAACGTAAAATTTCAGACATGCACTTTTATAGTATACGCTTTAAGGAATGTTATACTGAATTTACAGCTCTTAACTATATATAGCACAGCTGGTATAAATTTTCAAACTATTAATAATGATATAAAAAATAAATTAGATATTTACTTTTTAAAGTACACATTTTTAATTTTTTGTTAATATCTTTAGTATTTAGCAGTAAGGCAGGTCCAGCCGTCTTTTTTTATTTCCATAAAATATTTTTGTAATTTTGGATTAAAAATTCAAAAAATTACCCATGCTAAGCACAGTCTAAGCGCCACTCTGGTACAAATGTTTATTCAAGTGCGTTTAGACTGTTTATGTACCATTGAAAAATTTGAAAATACCGCCAAGCTAAGCACAGTATAAGTGAAAATGTCGCACAGAATTATTTGCAAATGCGTTTAGACTGTGACTATGTGGGAGCACTTTTTCAATTTTGTGTAAATTAGGCAACTATTTTTTTCTGAAATTGAATTCGAAATGAAATGGCGATTATTAATGTTCTGAAGATAAATTGATTGATTTATGATTTATCTATTACCATGTTGAGAACCGCAGGGCTTCCCAACGACGTATTTAATTAACGCGTATGTATTTGCATAAATAATAAAAGTTTATTTTCAGCCTATAAAAAAGCTAAGTCAAATATTGCGTCAAAAAATGTAAAAATAACGTAATTGATGATTAGACAAAATAATTTATTTGATTTGAATTTGTTAATTAAAATCCGCGCCATAGTGCGCCGCCATATTGTGGCACTGTCAACCTTTCGACTTGCGCGAATTTCAAATCAGTGCCTTTCAAAATCGTGTCAAATTTTTGACAGAAGTCAAAAATGTTTACAATATTTTCCAAAACTCATTTATCATAAACAACTGCAAACGATACAAAAACAATGGCTTTAAGTAAAATAACTTCGATCAGACATCTATACATCTGGTGATTGACTTTTGTATAATTTAAATTTGTAAAATTTTAGGTTATGGTGCACAATTTGATTTCGAATAAAACAATGATTTATGAATTTATTTTCAGTAAACAAATACACCAGCAGAATTTTGCAAAATATAAAATCAATTATAGTATATTTAACAAAAGTAATTTTGAAATTCGTTGTAAAAGTATAAGGAATTTTAGAAGATCACGAGATGGTCAGACGACGAAAGATAACTTTCAGCAAGTTGAGACTCCGTTTCAGGGGGTACACGTTGAAACCGGGCCTGTGCATTATAGCACCTTGATAAGACCCTTGGGATTCACAATCGCTGTAGGTATAATTGAAATAAACACAACACTTATAATAATAAACCTAGCCTTCCTTTACTACATTTGCTATTTTTTTACCCAGTTTACTTGTGCAAGTGTAGTTGCTACATCGATTTGGCAATATGAAAACTTGAGAAGTAGAGTTTCAAATGCAGTAAGAAATCCTGTTGGATGGATTCAGAATAAACTGCAATATCCCACACACAAGGCAGTAAGATTACTAAAAAACCACAAATTTATACCACACTAACAAGTACAGAATTTTATTTTATTTTTTTCTCTTAGATAGGTTGGAGAAGAGACCTAAATAATTGGTGGAAAAATCTGTCGGATGCTGAAAAATTATTTATACCAATATGTTTTCTGAATGTCCTAGTGTTTGGAGCGTGGCGTGTGCCTCAATTTCAGCCGGCAATGGTTAAATATTTTTGCTCAAATCCTGCCAGCCGTAAGTAAAATTATAATATTCTATTTAATTTCTATTTCTTTTCTATTTATTATATATTAAGCTTATATTATTTATTAATGATGAATTATTTTTTAGGTGCAATTTGTTGGCCAATGTTTTTGTCTACGTTTAGTCATTACTCATTTTTCCACTTGGTAGCAAATATGTATGTTCTGCATAGTTTTAGTTCAGGTTAGTATTTATTTATTTTATTTTATTTAAAGTAAAAGTATTTTCATTAAAAAAATACAATTAGATGGAGGAAAAAGTGAAATTTTCTAATGTGAATAAAAGGAAAGGTTAGGAATATTTTTTTTATAAACTTGTTTTATTTTTACTACTACTAAAATTCTGATACCTTATTACAATTCATTTATTAACTATTCACAGTTAATGGCATCTTTTAATTAATAATTGTGAGTGAAAAGATATCCATTTATATAACATTTACAATGGGATTTTAATTGAAGTAAGAAACAATATGTTTAAATTCTATTTTTGTAATATTTTCTGCAAAAATTTGTTTAATAGTTGTTCCAGTTGTATTTATATTTTTTTCTGACAATTTATCGTTTTTTTAAGTAATTTGCAATATTTTCCAATGATCTACAATATTTTTGTACTATTTTTACAATTTTCAGAAAACCTGCAGCATTTTTGCAATAAAATTTCCTAAAAATAAAATTGTACAGACAAAATACAACATTTGCAGACAATCTGCAAGATTTTTAGATGATCTGAAAGATAATTAAACAATTTTTTAAGATTTTTGAAAATGTGCAAGATTTTTTAATGATTTAATTTATTTGGATAATTTACAAGATTTGCAGACAATCTGCAAGATTTTTAAATTATCTGAAAGATATTTAGATAATTTACAAGATTTTCAGACAATCTTCAAGATTTTTAAATGATTTGAAAGATATTTGGTGAATTTACAAGATTTTTGGACAATCTGCAAGATTTTCATACTTTAACATTTTTGAACAATCTACAATATTTCAGACAATCTGTAAAATTTTCAGACCTACAATATTTCCAGATAACTTGCTACATTTTTCAAACATTTATAAATAATTAATATCATTTTCAGACAATCTGTTGAAGATTGTCTGAAAATACTGTATTTTGTCTGAAAATGTTATAGTTTGTCTGAAAGTGTTATTAATTGTGTAAAAATGTTGTAGTTTATCTGAAAATTTTGCAAATTGTCTAAAAATCTTGAAAAATGTCTAAAAAATGTTCCAGATTATATGAAAATTTTACAGATTGTTTAAAAATCTTGCAGATTGTCTAAAAAATGTGTAAATTGTTTGAAAATCTGGTCATTTGTCTGAAAATCTTGCAGGATTGTCTAAAAAGACTTGTAAATTGTCTGAAAGTCTTGCAAGATTGCTTAAAGATCTTGTAAATTGTCTAAAAATCTTATTAATCATGTAAAAACTTTGTAGTTTGTCTGAAAATCTTGTAAGATCATCTAAAAATTTTACTGAATGTCTAAAAATTTTGCATATTGTCTAAAAATTTTGTCATTTGTCTAAAAATCATGTAGATAGAATGAAAATCTTGCAAGATCGTCTATAGATCTTGTAAATTGTTTGAAAATCTTGTCATTTGTCTAAAAATGTTGCAGGCTTGTCTAAAAACCTTATAAATTGTTTAGAAACCTTGCAGTTTGTCTACAAATCTTGCAGACTTTTGTACTGAAAATTTTGCACATTGTCTAAAAAACTAGCAAGATTGTCTAAAAATCTTGTAAAATTGTAAAATTCTTACAAATCGTCTAAAAATCTTATAGATTGTCTAAAAATCTTGTAGACTGCCTGAAAATTTTACAGACATATTAAAAATCTTGCAGACAAATTAAGTCTAGAAATCTTGCCAAATTTGTAAAAATGTTATAAATCGTCTAAAAATTTTGTCATTTGTCTAAAAATCATGCAGATTGTCTGAAAATCTTGCAAGATCGTCTAAAGATCTTGCAAATTGTTTGAAAATTTTGTCATTTGTCTAAAAATGTTGCAGGATTGTCTAAAAACCTTGTAAATTGTTTAGAAACCTCGCAGTTTGTCTACAAACCTTGCAGACTTTTGTACTGAAAATTTTATAGATTGTCTAAAAATATTGCAGATTATCTAAAAATCTTGTAATTTGTCTAAATATCTTATAAATTTTCAAAAAATCTTGCACATTGTATAAAAATCTTGTGATTTTTTTAAAATTCTTGCAGCTTGTCTAAAAACTTTATAAAATGTCTAAAAATCTTTCAGATCATTTAAAAACCTTGCAGATTGTCTAAAATCCTTTCAGATTGTCAAAAAATCTTGTGAATCGTCTAAAAATCTTACAGATTATCTAAAAATCTTGCGGACAAATTAAGTCTAAAAATCTCGCTGAATTTCTAAAAATCTTATAAATTGCCTGAAAATTTTGCAGATTGTTTAACAATCTTGCAGACAAATTAAAAATCTTGCAAATTGTCCGAAAATCTTACAAATTGTCGGATTTATAAAAAGAAATTTATAAACTGTTTAAAAATATTATAAATTGTATGAATATCTTGCAGTATTTAAAAATTATGTAAATTGTCTAAAAATCTTGTAAATTGTCTGAAAATCCTATAAGTTGTCTGATAGTAGTCCGAACATAGATTATTTGAGAAAAATATTGGAATGATGTTTTAGTAGATCTTAAAAAAAAATTTGTTGATGAAATTGTTGTAAACTGTTTGAAAAATGTTGTAAATTTAAAATATTTTTAAATGATTTACCAAAATTTAAGACAATCTACATAATTTTTAAATGATCTGCAAGATATTCAGACAATTTATGATATTTTTAGACAATTTATAAATTTCTTAGACAATCTTGCAAATTTTTCAGACAATTCGTAAAATTTTTAGAAATTCAACAAAATTGCAGACAAACTTCAAAATTTTCACAAATTTTACAACAAATACAAATGACATTTTTTGAAAATCTACAAAGTTTTCAGACAATTTATATTATTTTCATAAAAGATAAAATATTTCCAGCTAAATATAACATTTTCAATAACCAACATTTTCAAAAAAATTCATGCTTTGTCTTTATTATACTTTCTCTACAGTCACTTTATAAGTTTCACTTAAAAAAATAACTAATCTAGTGGGGTGGGTGGCATCGTGCCTTAAGGCAAATTGCTAGAACTTCCCGTGCCGTAACGAAATGTTCGAGGAATACTGAATGTTTTCAAATAGATTAAATATTGTAACATTTTCTAATATTTATAAGAATTATATAAACTGAATTGCAAAGTTGAAATTATTTGTTTAAGTTATATTAGAACTATAGTCAGAATAAAAATAAAATCTGAATAATTTTAGATATACAAAAAAACTAAAAAAAAAAAAATTACACATTTTTTTTCCGAAATCAATTATTTTGTTAAGACAAGCAGAAAGTTCTTTGAATCATTCAAATCGGACGCTTAGTTCTCTCAAAAACTGCCATTTTTTACATATTCAGCTCCGTATCTTTGAAATGGCTGGGCCTGCCTTTGCCAAAAACTAATACACACTTCTCCCAATCATTACTTATTGAATGTTTTTTAGATCATTCAAATCGGATACTCCGTTCTCTCAAAAAGTCGATTTCTATTTTCTGCACTCTGTAACTGCTGGACCTGCCTTTGCCAAAAACTAATCAGCTCTTTTTCCTATCAATAGGAATCGAATGTTTTTTGAACCATTCAAATCGGTTGATCCGTGCGCCCTAAAACGTGACTGGAAATTTGTATCCATACATACATACACACACACACATACACACACACACACACACACACACACATCCATTTTTTCTGAGGTATGCCAAAATGTTTAGAAACCTTCAGAACGTCGAGAAATGTAAAGATTTTCAATTCCGATTTTCGGCCCATTACAATAACTACCCTACGGGAAGTTAATACTTTTTTATATAAAATAGTATCTAATAATTCATCTTCTAAATTTCCAGGTGTGATTTCATCGTTAGGTAAAGAAGAATTTTTAGCATTATATTTAACATCAGGGGTGGTGTCCAGTTTTGCGAGTTACATTCTCAAAGTTGGATCTGGACAGGCTGGACTTTCTTTGGGAGCGGTAATACATAATAATAATAATAATATATTTTACTTTATTCATTTATTAATTATAATATAGAGAAAATATTTTTTTTTTAGTCTGGTGCAATCATGGGAATAATTGGATACGTATGCTCGCAGTATCCTGATACAACGCTGAGTATAATATTTTTGCCGTTTTTGCAATTTTCTGCAGGCGCAGTAAGTATAAAAGATACATATATATATATATATATATATATATATAATACTAGATGACCCGACAGACGTTGTCCCATACCCAAGTCTACCTTTCAAAAGTTCTAAATGTTTTAATATCCTATCCTATACTTTTTAATATCCCATTTGATGTCCTATTTTTGTAATTTAGTTATGGTCTTAGCATAAGCAATATAAGAAATTTTAGAAAAAATAATATAGTATCTGCGGTAAAACAACAATATTACACTTGATTTTACCACACAATATAATTGCTTCAATGATTTACTTTATAATTTTCAAACGAGTTGCTTTTTGGAAATTATAATTTCTAAAGTACATTTTTCTCATTAATAATTCAATAAACATTATTGTTTATGTTCAAATCTTAGGTGAATTAATTTGTAAAATGTAGTTCATACATGCACTATTCAATCTAAGATCAACTTGCTAAATATTCCTTATCCAATGCCAAACAAATGAATTTTTGACACATGAAACAAAATTCTAAATCATTTTTTTATAAAGTAGAAATATTTTTCTTGTATTGTTAAATAATTTAATAGAGTAAACCAAAATACAACGTGCATGAGTTTAAAAAAATAATGAACATGCAAATTTGGACTTGTTGCGTTATTTATTAAACTGAATTATATAATTTCATCTGCCAAACCTATACAGTTGACTGTATCTCATATTATTTTAATTTCTGGCACATCTCAGCAATGCTATTCAGCAATAATAATGTGAACGTTACATTTTTCTCGTATATTACATTCTAATTTTATCTAGGCTCATAATTTGAGCTAAATTCAAATTTCAAGTGAATTGGCGTTTCTAGCAGATAACAATTCAAATGTTTTCAATGATAAATGGTTTTTCGTAATTTTTTGCCATTTATTTCTACAATATTGCTATAGTTTTATCGTTCATTAAATCTTAAATTACATTTCCTTTGACAAACTCTAAAAAGATTTATCAAAATCCGAATAACCGTTTAGGAGAAGTATCAAATCAAATCATACACCCGTACAGAAGAATTTTATATATAAGTTTTCTAAAGTTAAATTGTTGAAATATAAAAAGATAAATACTTAAAATATGTGTTAATGATACTTGGGATATTTATTCGGGACGTTTCGACGCTGTATGTGTGTCATCAACCACAAAACTTTATTTTAAATAATAATATTTTTTTTACATTCAATTAATGTTTAATAATGTTATTTTTTGTGTGTTCTTTATGGTAATTGATGACACACATACAGCGTCGAAACGTACAACGTGAATTAATCATTATTTTAACAATTTATATATTATATATAGGGTGGTCCTTAATATGGACATTTTCGAATTTCTTTGCTCCCAAGAGCTCAAATGCTTCCAAAGTGATAAAAGAAAATTATCTAAAAGTTTTAGCTCTTAATATTAACATTTAGATAGTCCGCAATTCAATTAAAAGTTTCGGATATTTATTATTTGAATTGCGGACTATCTAAATGTTAATATTAAGAGCTAAAACTTTCAGAGAATTTTTTTGTATCACTTTGGAAGCATTTGAGCCCTTGGGAGCAAAGAAATTCGAAAATGTCCCTTACATATTTTATGTTAAATCAGGCAATCAAAGGAATCATGGCAATGGATCTAGCAGGTATAATTTTCGGATGGAAATTCTTTGATCACGCTGCCCATTTAGGAGGAGCCCTAACAGGAATGTAAGTCCCTACCGAACAAAAACAAATCGTCCAAAATGTATCATTTATCTATTCCAATATATCATTTATCTCTTTTTAGATTTTGGTGTTACTTCGGCCACCAGTACATTTGGCAAAAACGTGACCCCATAGTTAAGTATTGGCATAAATTACGCAACGGAGAGCTTAAATAATAAATTTATATTTTGTGTATAGAATTATTTTAACAAGGTTTTAATACAATTGTTTTTTTAAATTTTAAAACATTAAAAGAGTATTTATATATAATAAAAATATA